CCCGGGTACCCAGAGCGGGCTCCCCTCGCCTCTGCAGGCGAGTGCGGGTCTGGAGCGAGATGGGGAAGCGCTGCCGGTCCTCACCGGGGCTGCCGCCGGGACAGGAGGCGCAGGGCTGGGGGAACGGGGGCCGCCGGGGGCTCAGGGGCTCTCCCTCTTCTCGCCTCCCCTCGGGCAGCACTTAGCTTGGAGGTTGGAGGCTGCCAGAGCTGCCTGGCTGCACCTTGCTTTCCCCGGCAGCACCGGGCTTGGAGGCTGCCAGAGCTGCCTGGCTGCACCTTGCTTTCCTCCCACCCCCGCAATCCCTAGTCACTTAGCACAGGGCTTGGAGGCTGGCAGAGCTGCCTGGCTGCACCTCGCTTTCCTCCCAGCCCGGCAGCACTCCTTAGCTGGCAGCAAACGGCAGCGGGTATCTTTATGGCAGGGTAAGCGTGTCCGGGACCTGGCTACCTGAGTAAGGAAACGGCTTAAAAGGGTTGGAGGAAAAACTGGTGTAAGGAGAGAGACCCCACCGTCTTGCAGTGATAAGAGTGAAGTTTTTTGCCTACTTCTCTGCATGTCATGTAGTGCTCTCAACCCTGATCCAGATGAAGGCTTGCAGGGCTACCTTGTCCTGGAGGGCAGGTGAGCTCTGAATTCTTCCTCGCCACCCTGGTAAAGCTGTATCTGCCTGTCACAGCCTCACTCCCAAGGGTAATGGAGCTGTTCCAGTCTTAAAAAGTTGCCAGCCCTCTCCTGATACTGACACATGCACCTTTGGATGAACAGGAGTAAAATGATGCTTTCACCAAATGTTTTGTCTGTTCACGCCCAACCTGCTTGCCTGGATATAGCTTCCCTCTCCATTCAAGTGCGCAGGGCTTCCCAGCCCGCACAGCTAAGTTACTGATGGTAACTTTGCAGCAGAACTGGCAACTCCCTTGTTCCCTCAGTGTCCAGTTCCAGTGTGGGTGAGGCAAGGCAGATCCCTGCGGGGTGAAATAGGTACTGTCCAACCTTGATAAGTGGCCACTCTGTGAGGGAGATTTGTGTTAGCACTTTGTCTCTAGAGAGAATTTGCCAGCAGAAGTGAGTGTTCAGAGCCAGCAAAACTCAGCTTTGAATTAGAAAACAGTAAAACTTTATTTTTTTAAAAAAAACCCAAAACACCCAAACCCAAGAACCCTTCTAGTCGAGACCAAAAGAGGTGTTCTCTTGTTCTTTTTGTCTGAGGAAGTAAGGCTGAAGGAATGACATTGAGATGTCTCAATAGCATCTGGCTTTTCTGTAACTTTTGACTATATTCACCCATTTTAACCAAATGTGCCAAACAAAGGTCTCAAAAGCTTTATGTACCATCAGTTTCATGAAAAATGGTGTTTTCATGTAACAGTACAATTAACACACTGTACTAATTTCTCCTGCGGAGAGAATGGCTTCAGCTTCTGCTCAGTGTTTATCATTACCAGAGAACCCACAGAGCATTAACTCCTGCAGTACAAACCTGTAGAATAATTGGCTTAATCAGCTCTACTGTGCATGGAACAATTTGTTTCAAATTTTGAAATGAGATAAGGGAGGTATTTGTCAGCCTCAGGGTAAGACCAGAAATGTCCCCTTCCCAAATTATGGCCCCCAAATGGCCCCTTCCCCCTCCTACTTTAGGATGGCAGGGGTTCATGTGTTGGGAAACGCCACATGCGCTAGTTTTCCCTGGTCGCCAAGAAGGGGTACAGAAATGCCGAAGGGATTCTTGTACTGGGAAGGGAGTTGTCATTCCACCTTGCATTGGGGTGACAGAACACGGAATGCTGGGGCTTCCACTCTTCCTTGCTGTGCTGGATGCCCTTTCTTGGGCAGGAAACAACTTTGGGACTCACGGACATGTTAGTCGTGGTTAAACTTTCTCTGCTCCTGATTTCAAGTGGGATGGGATAGAAAGTCCCTCTCTCGGTCTCAGAGAGGACAGGATTTCATTCTCAAATCATAGATCTGAACAGTTCATCTCTTGCATGTTTTTTAGGGTAAAGCTTGCTTAAACTTTGTTGGTACAAGTTTGCAGAGAGACTTCCACTGCAGCTGTGCTGAGCGTTGTTGTATGAGTGCATTCAATTTCAGCCTGCCTTTCCAATACAAACTCACTGATGCATAGCTATCAGGCACAGATTTGCGTTGGGAAACCTTAGCACCTTTCTCCCTCCCTTCCACATCAGCACTAGTCAGTCTATTGCATGTTCCGGAGGCTCACCCTGCAGCCCTCCTTCCTCCTCCTCCTGCAGTCGGGAGCTTCTCCTCCCATTTATTAACTCACAGATGATACCACTATTCGGACTGACTGATTGCCATAAAACTGATGGAAAAACTCCTCCAATTTTGTTAACTTCTAGTCCAGATCCTGGTGTGAATATGGAGGAACTCTGCTTCCACTAATGAATTCCTCTCTGTTTGCCCATCTGCCTGTGGAATCAGACTCTGGCTCATCTCTTGTTAGAGGTGCTCAGAAAAAATAATTTTCCCTCCTGAGGTTATATATGCTAGAAACAGGCATTGGTAAATGTGCAATATATGCAGATCAGCTGCACTTTGAAAAGCTGTCTCTTTTCTCACCTTCCTAGATGGCAGTTTAGGGATTCCAAGCCTTTCCCTACTCTTTTGCTCTCCATCTGCCTTTAAGGGAGCTGGGTTTGGATGCTGCCAGTGCTCCTGTGTGGCTAAATAAACAGAGCGGCAGATTGCCGTGTGGGATCTAAAGCTCTGTCAGATATAGATCTGACCATCTACAGCATGAGCCAGACCTTATGGGTTAGGTGTATGAGTTTTAATTCCTCCCAGAGGCTGAAAACTGCTCCACAGGGAAACTGTTTAAAATCTTAGGCAGCTCCTTCTAGACTTCCAGGCAAGGCTTCTGTGTTTGTATTTTAGTGTGCATGGGGTTTTGAAGCTCACACACAGAGTGAGGACCTTATTTATGTGCACTTGGTTGCCAGTAATTAAGTTCTTCCACGGAGAAATCAGGTAGCAGAAGGACTGCATCAGAGGCCGTGGTGAGCGCCAGGCTGCTTTTCTCAGTTCTGCATGCATATTCATTGCTGATTTTTAGCCTAGGAGGCTAAACTTAATTCTGTCCCTTGTGATGCCAGTGACAAGACTCTCATCCAGTCTGGTGGTCCCTGATAAGTATATGGGGAGCACACTGCCTGATAACTGTCTCCTTGGATGCCGTTACTCTGCCACAGGCTGGGAGTTCAAAAGACTCCAGATCCTTCTGCGAAACCACTGTGATCTCGCATCTCCGAGTCGCACCTCCTCGTGCGAATATCTCGGCTGGGAGTAAAGGTTGGCTGTAGTGGGGAAAGGTCAGCCGCTGGGCCCTGGGAAAGCCTGAAAGGCTCAGGGCTTTTCTGTAGCCAGTAAGTCCCCCATGAAAAGCCTGCACCTGAGCCGAGCCGTTTTGATCTGAACTCTTTGGAATTCATCGCTTTCTTCTGGCTACCTTCTAATTTGGCCTCGGGTCAAAATCATTTGGCAAGAACAACACTGAGGACAAGTGCCCCCTCTTTTGGCCTTTATCTTGTCTAATTACCAGGAGCATCCCTGCACAATGGAGTGGCTCCTAATTCTAATCTCTTCTTCTTTACTTATCGCCATTTTCTCTCCCTCTTCTTTTGTCTTCCAAAATCCCACGCACCAGGATTGAAAGGCTGGGTACTGGGGTAAAAGGATTGTGCTGTGAGCTGTGGGCAAATGCTCTCCCAAAGCTACAGCTTTTCTATTGCTTTTTTTCACCTGCGTATTTGGAGGGAGTTTCTGTCAGCGCTGGTCTGTGTATCTGTGCTGCTGACCGGGAGCAAGAGGGAGTAACGTGTCCTTTCTCTCCCTGTGTCCCACAGAGAAACCCGTCAGCCTGACTTACCGATGCCCCTGTCGATTCTACGAGAGCAACGTGGCAAGAGCCAACATTAAGCACCTCAAAATCCTCTCCACACCCAACTGCTCACTTCAGATTGTGTAAGTCTCTTACTCTTTTCAGCTGGGTGCAAATCTCAGGTGTCAAAAGGGAGAGTCACAGAGCTGGTTCCTGCTTTGGTGGCTGCGATTAGGTCTGCGTCTCATGCCATGATTTCCAATTCATCTCTTCACCCCGTGTGTCAGATACAGCCGGACCCTGCTTTACCCCACACAAAGGAGCCCAGCTAGATGTTTCCCAGCTGTGTTCTACCTCCATGATCTCCCTGTGACTGTGTGATCCCATGTTCTGTTTCCCCCATGGGTATGTGAGCAGGAATGTCAGACAGGCTGTCCATTGCCTTGGATGTGGAGCTTCACACCTTGGGGAAAAGACTTTACAGTGGTCTGAGTCTTCTAGTGCTCCACTTCTCCACAGAGAGGAGCTAAACAAGTAAAAGTAATTCCTGGATTTCGTGTAGCCTCCACAGGAGGTACAGACCCTAAACATGTGCTGGCCTGATCTAGGGACACGCTTACCAGGCAGTGACTGACTCCGGTAAATCACAGCAGGACAGAAAAGATGGGTTCCCAATGGAAAATAACCTCTTCATTTTTGCTGAAAAAGAAACACTGATTTTCACAAAAAATGAGGTTGTCGATTTTGTGTATGTGTGTTTTTAGGAAGGTCTTTTTGGTCATTTGTTCACGGGTAACCCCTTCCCTTCTCTCCTAAAATTCAAAATCTTCGGAAGGAAAAAAATTAGCATTCTTCTTTTCATTGCAGGGAAGCCCTACTAATCACCAACTTCTGTTGACCTCTGTAAGAGGGTCTCAGTGACTAGATTGGGTTTCTGTGCAGTGCTCCCATCACTAGTTCTGTCTTTGATCCACGTTGAGCTCTTCCAGTTGCAACTTAAATGCTGTAAAAATCCATTCTTTCTCATCCGAAACGTTTCTGCATTCAGAAAACTGATGTGGTTTCATGAGATTTCTCAGGAATGTACAGATATATTGAAGAGCATGTGTCCATTCATGAATCAGTTTTTATTCATATGATTTTTTTCTTTTTTAAACCACTCTGGGTGGATCATACACATTTTCTCCTGCATGCTTCTGCCTTAGGATTTGGTGGAGGACAGTGAGAAAAATGTAAGCCTCAGCTAAGAAATAATTTCCTTTCACAAAAATGGCAAAACCAGCTGTGACTAACTCTGATCTCTACCTATAAACAATTTTGCAGGCAAGCATCCAAAATGCAATAGCGTATGGATTTGTGCTCTGGGGCTGTCAATGGATGTCATAAGGGTCCCAGTGCTAAAGCTTTGTAGAGGATTTGGAATTTTCTGGAGTAGTTTCAAGAAAATGACAGGCATTTAAGACAGGATAGAGTATACATTTATCTCTTAATTAACGTGGGATCATAGTCGTAGAGATGGATAAGAGCACGAAATGCAAACAACTCATGTTCTTGTCCATTCCTGGCCCAAATGTGTTTGTTTGCAGTGTAATTTAGTGACACACAGAACACATGAAGCTATAGTTCACCATCTTTTTGTTACTTTAAAAGGTAAGGTACTTAAAAACTTACTTCCAAATACCCCTGAAACATCATGAGTTCGAACTAGCTCTTTATCGAAACAGAAGCTGAATTGGAATTAAAACTAGCACATACATTTCTCATCTTGATGGTTTCAACCACACTCTGAATTTAGTGGATATGCATTATACAGTGACGGTGTGAGTAACTTAAAAGCTACCATTTTCAGAAATAGAGAATCTCAGTGAAATCATACAATTTCAAGGAAAGATCTTGTATTTTTTTTGCACAAGTACATTCCCCTTTATGGTTGAGGGGGACTGTACCTGAACAAAAAGCCTAAGAGCAGGCTTTTGTCTTTGGTTCTATGGGAAGTCATCTCTCCAAATCCAGAAATCTCCTCTGTGGATATCTACTTCTACAAAGCCCACCCTAAATTCCCTGCTTTTCAGTACAGGGAAATAGGCATTTTTAGCATGCAATTGATTGCATCCTAAAGTAGACACCTAAACAGTTCAGATTAACACTCCATACAGTTGCCTAGGTCTCTGCCGTGACGGTACAGGAGCAGGGGCTGACGGGCTCAGAAATAAATGTCTAAAGAAATCAATGTCTTAGTATTAGGTGAGAGGAATTGCATTGCATGTGGCTGGAGGCTGGTTACGTGTGCTTTTGGTTCTGTACCCTGTGAGGCCAGCTCAAGAGTTCCCAGGCATTGCTAACATCAGCAAATCCATTCTTACTCTCTGTTGGTATCACTTCACTGGAAATACTCCAGCTTGGCACTGCTGTAAGGGAAATATGAATTAGGCCCATTCATCTCTCCATTGGCGCAGGGCTTGCAAGACTAGATCTTCGATGTGTTTATGTTACAACTGTGTTGTTGCATAACTTCAGACCAAGGAGCCTTCTTGACCTGTTATTTCTTACGCCATAGTTTTATATCCTGCAGATTTCATTTTATAAAGCAGGGAACATTTTGGCTTCCATCCAGAAAAATGCTTAAACAAGTACTGAACTTATTCCTATGGGCATTTCCATGAAATTGCTGTTCTTGGCACTTTTGCGTGGCAGGCAGGCTTTTTCTGAGCAGATGGGGCAGAGGCAGGGTGCTTCGAGGGACGTGGGAGATCACAGCACTCTCAAGATCCTGAGATCCCTGGAGGGTGAGACCTGGTGATGTGGGTGAAAAGCTGTTTGTATTGCTTCTGTATAAAAGATGCAGATAGCCCAAATGCCAAATTCACAGGGAATTCAAATTAGCTAAACAGTCTGGCTTGGAAAGTGCAGCTTGGACATCCAGGAGAAACCCCTCAGGAGGTTTCTGCTTTTGTTTCCAGCGCTGAGTGAATACGTGAGGGAAAACTTGCCTCTGGCACTATGGTACTTCCAGCTGTCTTCCTGCCTCCAACCTGTTAGTTCAGTCTTGTATAAAACAAAAAGCTAACCAGATCCTTTCAGAACATCTAAGAGGTATGGTTTGGTGTCTGTCCTCAAAACATGTGAAACTTCAATTTTGGATTGAATCTGAAAGCTGTACTTAATTAAGTCCTTGCAAAAATGACCTATATTTACCATGTCAGTATTTCCAAATGAAATTTAGCTGTTCCCGGCACTGAACTCGTAACAGCCCAGGTATGAGTTGGAAAACCTAGATTTAAATTCTGTATCTGTCTCATCCCCATATGCGTACCAGTACAGACCACAAGAATCAGCGTCACAGGGGACAAATTGCACCAGTGCTTTGAACCCAGGGATATTTATAATAGGTGCCTTGAGGATGGCAGGGATAATGCATCCTCTTCGTGGGTTAACTGAGAGCAGCAGTGACAACCAAAGAAGTCGGTCGGTAACGGAATTGCAAACCTGTGTGCAAAATAAGGCATCTGGGGGGGTGTGGGCTGAGGAGCATCACACACTAGACTCACTCTGACTTTTCTCCTTTGGCAGTGCAAGGCTCAAGAGCAACAGCAAGCAAGTGTGCATTGATCCCAAGTTAAAGTGGATCCAGGAATATCTGGAGAAAGCTTTAAACAAGTAAGGCAAGAGACAAATGGACTTAACAGCTAACATCCTGAGTTATTAAAGGGTAGAACATTAAGGGCTGGCTTTTACCATGTGATCAAAATACTCGTGGAATCAGATATTGTTTTGAAGATGGGTTTGGAGTTGACCTAGTCTGTATTAAAACAACAGCTTCTAGTATATCCTAAATGTTAAACTAAGAGTTTTGCCAGGGTTTGAGGTAAAATCTATCCTAATGAATTTGTTCTGGGGTCCCCGACTCATCCTCTTTTAAAAGAAAAGCCGTTCTCCCAAGGAAAATGCTTCCTTTATGCCCCCTCTTCCCCGAGTCAAACTACAATTACTTCAGAATCTATATTGTTCCAGTTTCTTTGGAGACCCTTCTCCATGTTACACTGGGGGTCTGTTTGCACAGGCAGCTGAGGCCTGGGGGGTCTTTCTCTGCTGGCCAGTGTGGAGTGCTGTTAATATCAGCCAAAGCGAGATGCATTGCAATGAATAAGGCTCTCCCACAAGGCCGGGGCAAAACCAGCCATATGTGGCAAATTCAGACTTTTAAAACCTATTTTTATTCCCCTTGAAAGCGGGTGATCGTGGCTACCCTGAGGTGGACCCAGCGTATCTCAGTTCAAATTTACAGTGAGCAAGAGCAGCACAGAGAACATTTCTGTGCTGAGTTGCAGGGGAGGGCTCCGGCCTTCCTGGGATGGAAGATGAGACAAGTGATGGTATAAAGCATTTCCTTGCTTGCCCAGAGCCCTGGGCTGCAGTTGATCCAGCAGTGGCATTTTGGCCAGCAAGCCTACCTGTGCACTCAGTATCCCTCCCACCCTTGTCACCACATTCCCACCCCTCAGTAACTGCGCTGTAACCGTGCTGAACCTTGCCCCCCCTGCATCTGTAGGGTAAAGGCAGGGCTGGAATCCAGTCATTTGCAAAAGCAATGCATTCTTGGAGAAATGTGGGGAAGGGTATGGCCCCTGTGAGGCAGTACAGGTAGCTGAATGCCCTCCACTGTTTGCTTTGCAAAACATCTGCCAAACAAGGGGTGGAGTTAAAAAAAGGTCTTTGTTCCCCTGTGTTTTTACAATAAGCAAGGGGAGAAATGCTACCAGAGGTAGAGAGAATCCTCCATGTGGCCCTTTTGGGACCACACTGGGGCCAAGAGTGAGGAGGAGGAGGGAAGGAGGCCAGCTAACAACTGACTGTGATTCCAGCCCTGACAGCTCTTCCCATCTCATCCGATGCTCAGTGCCTTCTTTGCTGCCAGCACTCAGCCCTCTTGTCCTTTGGGAAAATTCTCTGCAGAGGTAATCCAGGTTAATGCTGCCAGGATGGCTTTGGCTTTAGGCACAACTGAACCCAAGAGCAGGATGTGGCCCATGCTGACTATCCTAGGGGCTTGGGCTACTTTGTTTTCCAACTTGGGAAAATTCTCAAGCCCCTGCCTAAGTTTCTGTTGCCATCAGCCCCAGTGAAGCCCTTCATGCTGTTTATAAGACCTGAAACTTAGGAGGCACTTAAGAAATTTGTAGGGTTGGGCAAATGTGGTTATGTGCTCAGACCCTGCCTTCCTGACTTAGGGGAACAACTCAGCTGGAGCATGTTCTGCTCTCACTTCCACTGGTGAAGATCTGGGGCCAGCTCTACTGAAACCAGAGAGCCCGTGCCTGATCTCCAGCCAGATTCTGGGTTTTGTTTACCTGACTCTAATCCAGAAGCAATTCTGCTAATTTGGTGGATTTCATCCTGGTTTACATTGAGTAACAAAAGAGAATTTTGTCCCAGCTCTATGAAATAAGGTGACAGAAAGCATATATCTCCATCACCTAATCCTGTAATCAGGGCATTATTTTCATTTTCCAACTAGTAATGCTAGCACCAGTGACATTTTCATGCTCCACAGACAGTCAGGGCTCTGTCTGTAGCATTTTCACAAGGCATGTTTTTGATATATTTTAGTGCACAGCTTTGACTTCTTCAATGAAATGTACTTTGGAATATATTTATAGCGCATCAAACAATTCATATATTTGAATTGGAGCCATATGAATGTTGGTAGTTTAAAACACCGATATCTCTCTAAACTACTAACAGCTTGTAAAATAAATCTATATAGATCTATAAATGTTAATGTAGCTATCAATTTCAATCAGCCATATATTATATTTTTTCACTTGTACTGAAATTGTATGAAATGTGACATTACCCTATATGCACTAGCAATAAAATGGCTAATTGTTTCATGTTATGAAAACCCAATTGTACATGGGAATTTATTTTTCTGGAATAAAAGCAATACGTTTTGTAGAAAGGGCTCTTGTAATTGCTTAAGTAAAATCCAAAGTGTCAGGACATCTTAGCCTATACCAGTGCTTCAATATGAGAGTATCTTCTGTGTTATAATCTGCAGCTAAGGGCAAGGAAAAGTTCATAGAATATAGTAGTCCAATGCAGTTGATTGTGAAACCAGAGATGGTTTTTAGTAGGGAATTATTTTGCTCACTAATTCTGCTTAGACTTTATTATTGCTTTATATTCATCACATCTCCATGTAATATACATACTTTTGAGACATCAGCAAAATACATTCAGGCTGTCAGGAAACCAAATTCCTTAACTGGCTTTAAAAATCATTGTGCAGCTGCTGTGGCCAACATCATTCAACATTCATCCATTTTATAGACAAGGGGCAAATCAGTCCTTTCTTGAAATAGCTAACAAACCCTTTATCACTTCCAGACAATCCCAGTCATCATTTACAGTACATTGACTGCCTTTCCCTTCTCCCTTCATGTAAGGATATGCAAAATCAGGCCCTTGCAGAGTAAACAGAGACCAGAGAATGATCCTTCCTTGTCCGTTTTCACGTTAATATAGTCCCACCTCAGAACTTCCCCTCAGCTTGAGATGCTGGAGTCCATTAAGCTCAGCGGCTACTGCTGGCACAGAGGAGAGAGAGCTGATGGATCTGGAGAAGATAACAAAGTCAGATAGGAAAAACCTTTCTCTTGAGCCCACTGGGAGAAAGGAAAGGAAGCTCCCAAATTCTAGGAGCTGGCTGTGATGGGAGCCAAGCCCTGCTGCTGCCTTCCTCCATAGTGCTTGTAACCCCCAGTGTGGCAGCTCTTCCTAATTTCTGACCTCATTTGTAAATAAGAGCTGAAGTACAAGATGCCAAAACAACTACCTCCCAATACTCCACCAAGCGTGTGCTGGGTGAATGCCCCACACGGTGGGGGACAATGTAGGCGATTATCTTTACAGCCTTGTTTTAAGGCACTGAATGCCCACAAATCCCATAGAGTAGCCACTGGTTCTTGTTGATGTCAGTGGGAATGCTGGGTGGGAAGCCAGAAATCCAGCCCCTCTCTGCTTTCATTGTACCTCAGGGGGTACTGTGCAGATGGTGATGCTCCTGGCTGACAAGTTCTGGCAGGCATTTGGGGAGGCTTCGGTGTTTTGGGGAAAAGAGTCGTTCTGGCCTCAGAATTTGCAAATGTCCTGTCACCAGGGCACTTTCATTTGCCTAGCATTCCTCTGAGGCAGAGGGTATGTGAAAGGGGATGTTATCTTCATTTGCACCCTGCCAGCAAGATGTGAAGGGACCATAGGATAAATGTGAATAAGGCCTTTGTATATGGATAATTCATGGCAGTCTTTTTGTATTTTTCTTTTAATTTAGACCACGTCATCGCACTCATAAAAAAAAGCAACAGAAGAAACGGGGCCCACTCTGCCCTTCCCGTGCAACACCACTAAAGTCTCCAGGGAGAAAGAATGGTAGGAGGCATTAGTTTCTGAGCTGGGATACCTCAGGTTCAAGTCCCTGCTCTTCCACTGACCATCCTATATGACCTCGGGAAATATATTAGCCTATCCAGACCTCCATTTTTCCCCGTATTTGTTGAGGATAACAACTGTACCCGCCCTGCAAAGGGCTATTATATAGATAAAACTCTTAAAACAGGGAGAGTGTCCAACCACAACAGAGGTGGGAAAATTTTCCCATTTTACAGGTGGGAAAATGGACAACCAAAGAGACCAAAGTAGCCCTGAAGCAAAGCCAAAGTCAAAAACAGGGTAAAGGTTTGGAAGCCCTATGTCTCTTAGCTGGCCATATTCCTCCAATACCAAACTGACAGAGTTAAACTATAAATAAGAGCTGGGAATTTGTCACTGGTGGTTTTTTATGACAAATGCAGCACTGGGTGGTGACAACGTGATTTGGTGCATTGGTGATTGGTTGACACCTCTCCTATGGGAGATGCTAGGCAAGTCCCAGAGAAGTTTCTTACATATGCCAATGGTTTGGATGTCCCAGTTGTTTTTTTCCCACCAGGGTGGTGTGTCCTGCCTTTCTGCACCAAAAGAAGTAAGGTTACTGGTGTGGGATATTGGAAAAGAGACCTTCAAAGAGGAAAATTTTGCACATGGCTTAGTCATCCTCTTTAGGCCAGGATGAGTTTTCCGAGGCTTCCTTTGCTGAGAGTAGCCACAACTGTCTCTGGCTGTGGTCACACGGTCTTAGTTGTCCAGCAGGCATTGAAAGGGATGTTTGTTCTGATCCTGTAGGCTAGACAAGACATGCTGGGACATCAGGGGTTTTGAATACCTGGTGTTTACCCTCTGACACTTGTAACTCAGCCTTAGTGACCTCATCTAGATTGCAAAAGGCCGATCAGCCTGGAGCAGGAGTAGGGGTCACTTCAGACAAAAACCTGGAGGCCACCAGCACAGACTGGCTCCTTGTTCTGAGTGAACCCTGCACACAACACACTTGCACTTTGCTGTGATCCCTAACCCACCACTCTTCCCGGGGACCATGCTCCCACTGAGCATGGGAGACTCGATTTGTCTGCCTCCTACCCTGAACTCCCTACCTCTGCACTTAACGCCTCACACATTTACTGTGCAGCATGTGGCTGCTCGCCCCCCTTGTCACCCCACCTTCACTGGGCAGCTGGTCACCACGAGCTGTGACGTGCTACCCAGCTGCTCACAGCAGGTGAGGTCCCAGAGCAGGGAGGCCATGGGGATGGCTCCTGGCTGGGCAGCACACTCGGGGGCCTCTGCTCTCCAGCTGCCCCATGGTGGGAGCTGAACACCAGCAAGAGCAGAGCATGGGCTGTCCTCTGTGTTCCTCCATCCTCACAGAGACCTGGCACCCCGTGGAGCCGCAGTCCATGATCTCCAGCAGAGCTGTGGGGTAGGGGCAGGTAGAGGAGGCATTCCCAGTGCCGCTTGCTCCACTACTGGGGCCGCTCACAAATCATTAATCCCTCCTTTCCCTGCTGTTTTTTTTGCCGAGTCTCTTTGCCCACCGATAATTCTCTGCTCTGGCTTTCAAGTCCAGAATAAGCTTCCTAGCCAGCCTTCCTCCTATGTTAGCTCTGAACACCTTACTAACTGTGGTGAGCACAACCTGCCCAAAATAACTCCCATTGCTGGGTTTGCCCTGCTGGGTCCCAGTAGCTCCTTGTGGAGAACTTCCCCCAAAATGTTTGGCAAATTTGGAGGGGCTGCAAAAGAAATCGGGTTAGTCCAGACACAGATTTGCTGTTTGACTAGGCCTGATATCAAAGCTTTTGCAACTGAAATAAACCTTAATAGTGTTTCACTCTGTTCTTCATCAACAGGAGGTTCAAGATGTAAGAGGCAAGCATTGTAAGCCGTCTACAGGATTTCTTACTGTAGGACCCAGAAAGCAGATAACCAGTATTAGGGAATGAATACATTTCACTGTTATCATGCAGCACAAAAGCAACGCTTCCTGCATTTCCAAAGGTTTTTTTTGTTTGGGTTTTTTTGTGGTTTGTTTTTTTTTTTGCACAAATTGGCTTGCTTTCACAGTGCTATTTTTATATAGTAAGATGTAACTATTTGAGAAAAATGTTTTTATACAGGTTGGTTTATTACCTAGCACTGAGGGCAGATATGAATTTAAACTAACCCTATGTTATTATATAATATTTTATTTCCTTTGCTATGTAGAGGTCCTGCTTTATTTAACTTTCTTTTGGTTCATGCAAGTCTCCTGGAGTTTTAAACCTAGAAGGACATGAACTGTACAGTGCAATGATGTTGTGTAAGTAGTGGAGGAATTCTTTGCCTCCAGAAGTCATCAAGGCCAAGAACATAGGAGGTCTAAAAAGCATCAGACATTGATGAAAGTGGTCAGCATTACCATGGGTGGCATTTATAGGTATTCTGGGTGAGGGATTAAACTCAGGGCTACAGGGCTAAAGCCTTTCTCTGAAGATCAGAAACCTTGGTGACAGCTATGAGCAGCTGGGTCAATGCACATCTGGTATTGCAAGGTGCTAGTACTTGGTTTGTAGTAGTTGTGTGTGTTAGGAGCCACAACAGTGATCTGATGTCACCTGGCATTTCCTATGTTCCTGTGTTTCTGATGACAAATTTTAGCACAAAAAGGAATGGGTTATTAAAGGTCTAACCACACGATCATGTTGCAAGTTGCTGGAGGAGTCAGATATGCTGCCGTGCACCAGGTGTCTCTTCCCACCCATCCACGGGAGGTGGCTTCAGCTCACCTGGCTGGCTTTGCACTGAAGTAGGTGGAGATGCATTCACATGACCCTTCACCAACGATGCTGTAGCTTCGCAGTCACACGTTACCTGGAAGCAGTAACATCTTTGATTGCTCCGGAGATACCTAAAAGAGGATGTCTGGCCATATCTTTGGAGAAAAGAGATGCCTGGGGCAAAAGAGGGTCTGCCCGGTTTGTGGAAGGAGTGGTGTTTCTCGGGTGTGGAAATGAAGGCCAACACTCACTGTTCACCAGCGGTCATGGTTCTGTTTGCTGGTGAACAGGATAGCCTCGGCAATTTCCTTTGCAAAGTACACCCGGGGACAGGTACCACTGCTTCGCCAATCCCTCTCTCAGCCAGAAATTTCTTTCTCCTGATTCCTACCTGTATATGCAATATCTTTGCTATATAGTGTATGCCTGCAGTACTGCGATAATCATGTTACCCTGCGCGCTGGGATCCAGGGGGAAGCACATTTGTGCAGCACAGTGCTTATGTTTGTATGTGTGCGTACTGTAAACAGAAAACGTTGTAAGATTGTAGTTTTTTTGAGCGGGTTGCTTCAGAAGGAATCTTCCCTCTTCCCTGCAGCCTGTGTCAGGAACACTGAGAGGGGTGTTTCACCGAGCACTCCTTTTTGTGGCAGGCATCTTTTAGTGCCAAAGAGGCACTTTGGCTAGCCGGGGATTACCTTATTTCCATGTGGATTCAGGTAAAAATCTTGTAAGTATTTTCCTCTCTGCAAAACAGCGCTATTACAGAGAGTGCTTCAGCTGGGACCACATCACCTCGTTTGCTTTAAAGCAGAAACCAACTGCTGTGCCTAAAATGTATGTGTGTGTGATTTTGACATTCCTTCTATTGTTATCGTTACCAACCTGGTGCTTTAAGTATATTGTGTCTCTGTTTTGAAAGGTCTGGTACCACTGTACTTGGTGAGAATTGGACTGTTGATTTAATGTGAGTAGGATCTGTTGTAATGTTGTAAGGCTAAAGACAGAAAGAACTCTTACGAGAAAACTAGAGTTCCTTGTGTCTTCCCTGGAATGTACTTTATATCCTAGGGTCCATCTCCTGCCCCCACACATGCACCTGCAATTGCTAGTGGTTTGCCAGAGGCAGACATGTGAGTGTCAAAGCCAAGAATGACTTTGGGGAAAGTGTGGGTGAATTTTGGTTCTGACACAGACATGGAGCTTGTCCTTCTCACCCAGGAAGGTGCATTCTTCACACATGCTTCCCATCCAAGGACAGCTTAAGGTCTGATCTGTTCCCACTGGAGTAAATGAAGAATTAAATAATCCTCTGATTTTGATTCAACAGCATACCTTGAAATGACAATAGGGGCCGTGAAGATTTTGTTTCTAGGGGAAACATTGGCTTTCCAGTGAAAAGACGGGGTGGGTAGATGTGATTGTACAGCCTTGCCAGCGCTCTGCTGCAGTCCTCGTTAACAGGGAGTGCATCTGGGGTCAGCACTAGCAGGGAAAGGTCTCTGGGCACATGCCAACCCCACATTACAGCCTGGGCAAACAGACTACTTTGACAGAAGCATTGAGATGGGCAGTGCTGGAGCACCCCCCCAAAGCCAGCGTCCTAGCTCTGGACGGTATAGGCAGGTAGTAGAAGTACTGCAGGAAATGTCAACCTTCTCTTCTAGGGGCAAACTAGTGAGCATCGCGGGGGTAGACTGTGCTAAAGGAAGGGCATTTAATCCTGGGAGAAATGCATGAGTAGCAGCAGGAAGGAAAGGGACTCCCTGCAAGGCTAGGGAACACTTACAGCCAGGTGGTGGTTGTCTGGGTGCCTTGTGGGCTGCCTGCCTCTGGCATTTCTTGAGACTCACACTGTGACCTGGGCCCTGACACCGCTGCGCTGGTAACGATTCGCTGCTCATGTAGCTGAGACCACTCGGGGCATGGGGCTGCTCTCAGGGGCCAGCACCGGCTCCCTCCCTCGCCCAGGGAAGTTTGAGCACAGCGTGACTGGAGGGGTGGCACAGACCTGGCCAGGAGTAATCGAAGACTTAAACGAGAACCTGATAAAAGCTTTCTCTTGCTTTAGACCAAAATTCAACCTTGAGCAGGAAGCTTTGCTTTTTGCCTGACATTATTTGCATGATGCATCAGGAAGAGCAGCTATGTCCTTCAAACTAGAGAAATCAGTCACTCGGCTGCCCCAAGCTCCTTGCGCTATCTCTGCATCGCGTGCTGTTCCTCCTGTGCACACCACGGTCGTAGCAGGCTGAGAAGCAGCACTAGCGGAAACCCGCTCGGGGAGAGCACCAGATTTTCCTTTCTGCCTTTAACTGTTGACCAAAGACCGAATCAGGGAAAGGAAGCTTGGGGAGATGGGAGTGATGTCGAGACCACACGTGAAGAGAAGGAGGGAAAAGAGGTAACACTGAACTGGTGCTGAAAAAGCAGCTTCCATAAATGTGAAATTGTCACGTGTGGTATTTTCAAAGTGCAGCTGTCGAATCCTAAGGTTGGGTTATTTTTTTTTTAAAAGAATAGATGGTATTTATTGCTGTGCCAATTTTTTAATTTATACTAGCTTTATACTTGTATGTATGAATATCTTATCTGAATTCTGCCTGAGGAAGGATGAAAGGTGGCTTTCTGATGTGTTTTTAACTAAGGTGTTTGAGCAAAAGTGGCTGCTCATTTTGCAATGAAGGCTACATTCGAAGTTAAATATACACATTTCGTTGAAAATGCAGTTCCTATAGAAGTTTTTGTTGCTATTTTCCCTTTGTTAGCATCTAGAGGGTCCTTCTTTTCTCTGGCAACTTGTTTTGAGTGATGTGATTTATAGTAACGAGGGGTTTCTCAGAACTCATCACCTAAAATCTGAATTTTTTTCTTTACCAACATCCCACCAAGACAAGCCTTGTCTGCAAACATGAAACTCCGGTGGCCACAAAGAAGAAAACACATATCATGATAAAAGGGCTGCATGAACCTCCCATCTTCCACTCCTTAAGAACTCAGTGTTGTCAGAATGTGGTAAATACTGTACTTTATATTTTTATTAAGTAAAAAGAAATATCTTCCCAAATAATGTGAAAAGGGTTTTGTATTTGTGTTCCTGTAAGGCAGCTTTTATGGAGGAGTTATATTATGCTTTTGAAATTACTCCTTTCATAGAATATTTTGAAAATAAACACTTTTATATTGTTGTAATTTCTCCCATAAATGTATATGCACTTAAAATTTTCTTAATAAAAATGTCTATCTAAATGAAATTATTACTTGCTTCTAATTTTTTTTTTCCTCACATACAAACAGCTAAAAGCTTCACATCAGAAAAAACATTCAGATGTAGTTTAAGTGTCCAGTTTCAAGGATGCTTCCATGTAGCCCCATGGGCTCAGACTCCCTGCAGGGAACCTGAGGCAAAGTGCCCATGGGGTTTGGCAGGGAGCAGCAGCCTAGCAGATTGAAATGTGTCACCTTCAAAAGGAAAGGCGTAACCATTTTCTTCCTAAACAGAAGCCCAAACTTTTTTTTTTAACTTTTTTTCCCCCCAACTTGTCTCCTGCAGCAGGCTGACTTCAGTGGAACTGAAAACTGCAGAAGCCCAAACTTTTTTTTTTAACTTTTGTTTCCCTCAACTTGTCTCCTGCAGCAGGCTGACTTATATTGAGCTGTTTTTGCTCCAGCAACAGGGATGCCATCGTCATCTGTGCTGGGGAAGGGATGAGGGTTTCTCTGAAGAGCCTGAGGGGTGTCAGGGGATGCATCTGATGAAAGAGCAGATGTTGGGAACAACACCCTCCCTGGGGCTGGTTTTCCCAGGGCACAGCAGGGTCAACCTTCAGTTTGGAGGTGGGGAATGGTTTTAGAGGCTTGTAGGACTGGCCTGAGATCCTGGAGGTATAATCCTAACTTGGATGATGTTGTAGGGAATTTGCTGTGAGTTTCAAAACCATGAGTTGAAAACTGGCTTTTGTCAGTGCCTTCCCCCATCTCCGAGTCCCCATGGCAGGGGGAAAGCGTTTCCTCCACAGCTGCCCTGCTCCAACATGCCAGTCCTCCTCCGTTCATCCACTGCAACAACACAGGTGAATTCCAGCACCATGTACAGCTCTGGCTGGAGCAAAGGTCAGGGATAATTTAACATCTCATAACAGTGAAACAGTGCTTGAGCCTTACTGAGCTCAATAATATTATTATTCAATAAATATTTCTTGGCCAAATTGACAGAAAGCAAAAGACATGCAAAAAACGGAAAAAGGAAACTCAGATGACTGATGATCCCTTTGCAAATCCAGCAATGATTTAGTAAGAGATTATGAAAAACTGAGCAGGTAATTGTGAGTGCAGATGGTCAGTGAGAGATTCCCAGGCCACTGGGAAATGCATTGGGAGTAATTAGCTACAGAATTACACATTAAGGAAAGGCCCCATGTTCTGTGGAGCACTTTGCTGTGCCTTTCATCAGGTCTTTTCTTTTGAATGTGAAAGTTCTGGTTCTTACTTCCTCAGCAAAGCATCATGGCAATGTACCTGCAAACTGCCTAGGAATTAGAGGTGAACCCACCTTATTAGCACATCTGGCTCTCTTCAGAGGCAGCTTTCCAATATTAGCAAGCTGAAGGAAATCAGCTGCATTCATGGCCTCAGCCATCCTCACACTGGTTACGGGCTGGATTTATTAGGCCCTGGTGTGGTTATAGGTCAGAAGACAGCATGGGAAATGCCCCTGCTTCTTGGGACCAGCTGGGGATGTTACCACTGAGGATGTTACCTAGGAGCTGCTGTGATGCTACACGGTAAGGGTCAGTCCTAGCTTCTGGTGAGCATCTCCCTGTTTTATAAAGCTACTTGCTCTCAAGTCATCCCGAGAGTCCCTCAGACAAAACAAATATATAGCTTTGAGATGAGCAAAGGCAAAATGAAAAAAACAAAAAAACCCAAGGTCTAGAAGCTGAAGCCAGAGAAATTAAAACTGAAAACAGATTTCTAAGTGTGGAACTGATTAGCCTTTGGAACACGTTCCCCAAGAGAGGGGGGAAAGCCCTGATCCTTCCTATGTCTTCAGAGGGGGCTGAACGCCGTTGTGGTGTTAACCACATACAGCTTGCTGGGCTCTCAGGGGACATGGGGTGAAGTTCTCTTGCCTCTGTTACCAATAGGGTCAGACAAGATGAGCTAACGATCCCTCTGGCCTCAGAAATCCATATGCAGAAAGCCCCGGCTCCAAGGAAGCATTCCTCAGCCTGTCTGTGATTAATAACACCGGTACATCATCAGCCATCCCAGCTTTGCTTGGACCGAGGCTGAGGATGGCTCCTGCTGTTACACCGGAGACAGATTTGGGGTAAAAGGCCTCTATTTCTGGTCATGAAGGTTGCCCTCCAGCTGGAGGGGCGGAGGCATGGCAGCAAGAGAAGGCTGCAGCCCTGTCCCTGGTCCATGCACCCCCAACTCTGGGAGGAGGGTCTGCTCACATAGGGTCCCCTCTGGCAGGAGTGCTCACATTAGTGATCTTTTCTCGTAGGAACTCCCTGAGTTTCTTCCTTTGTCCCTTTTTGCCCCTGACCCTTATTTGTCCTTCATTCTCTCCTCTGGCTCTTTGAGGACCTCCTCTTTCCTCTCAACCCCAGTTGCCACAGCTCAAGTGACAAGTCTTGGTGATTTAAAGACATCTGGCAGTCTCTGCCAGTCATCAGCACCTTCCTGCTTCCTCATCCTTGTCAGTGCTCTCTGGCTAGGGCCAGTCATCCAGTTCCAGTCTTTGGAAGATGTGGTAGGACATTTCCTTTCTGTCCTTTGCAGCCACTGTATCAGAGCAGGATCCAGGGCCCTTTTGGAGAGGAGCTGCCTGACTGCTGCTGCGGAGCTGTTTGGCTTATGCTTTTGGGCTCATTCCCACCTGTGAAATCTGGTCTGTCTTCCCCTGCCTGCTACAGCACCACCCTTTGGCACATCAGCATGCCCTCAGCTCACATGCCTTCCAGCGCCTCCCTCTACAGCCAGCCGTTCCTCACGGTAGCTGCTGAGGAAAAACGGTGACCCGTTATTGCTTCCTTCCCGCTGCCAGCAAACAGAGAGCTGAACCCTGAACACACTGGCTTTGTGAGCTGGCAGAACCAAGAGGGTGCTTTAGGCTTTCAGCAAACCCAAGCCAGACCACCGTGGCTTGAATGGAGGGCGAAGTCTAGCACAGTCTGTTGAGAGGTAGAAGAACACAACCTAAGAACAGAAGGACAGAGGTTTAAAATGCTGCTGTAGCTGACTGAAACCTCCAAAATGTGTCTGATTCTTCCACCCCAAAGATCTGCAATCACTTCCAGCTGCCTAGTGTGCCGCATGATTTATCGCAGTGCCTGGAAGAAGATTTTGGCTGTGGCGAAACATGTTTGTACGTTGCCTGTAAAAACAGCAAATCTGAAGAAAGGACTCTCTGGATGTGGTTCAGTGTGTAACAAAACCCAAATTGCCAAGTCCTTCCATCCACAGTACCACAGCAATACATAAAACCAGTTTAATATCTAGCACACGCTATCTGTTTGAGCACCAGAGAGACACTTAAAATACTTCAGACTACACTGTTACAATTCCTACACAAAGGGAAGACTACTTATGTGAGCAAATGCCAAGCCCCATTGCATAGCCTGGCCCACGTTTTCTAAATTAGAGTCTTCCCACAGGGCAGAGCACTAGTAAAATAGTTCTGCACAAAATATTTGGAAAAGAAGAAGGAAAAAGAGAGGAAATACTTCTTTCTTTCAAAATATAAATGCTATGAATGCAAACAGGAATCAAACCCTGTATGCCAGATCTACAGCCACAAAAGCAGCTGGACGACTACCATCATGCTAAGCATCCACATTCAAAATTAAGGTCCTCATAGTAACTTTCAGTGCTTTCCTCAGCCTGGTTGTTCCAGTGTTTCTCCTACCTGCATTATTGCCTGCTAAGCAATCTACCCCAGCCCTGTTACTGAGGGATTGGTACCCCTCTCTGCCCCTTGGGATGTCCAGAGCAGATATCTGGTTCTTGCCAAGAAAGCGGGGAGATTCCAGGGGCATTTCCAGAATGTATCTATTGTACAAGCTTGCACTCCCCTACTCTTGCATCCCATCTCCCAGTCTGATTTTCTCTCTGTCCATCATTACTATAATTTGGACAAGGCCCCACTGTGCAGGAGCTGCACAAACACTGAAGGATAAAGACAGTCCCTACCTGATAGATTTCATGGTCGAAGATCTGCTCTGCTGGGCTCTTAATAGAACATACGTGTTGCAAGGAATGCAAGTCTATCTCTTCGCTGGGTATTGGAGAAGCATCACACCAGACTCAGGATGGCTTGTCAAGCAAGTAAAGAAGTACAGATCACCTAATTTCACATTCATCTCTTTCACCATATGCAAGATCTGGTTAACAGAGAGTATTTCAGTTCCTTGGAGGGGTGCAGTAATGTAAAAAGATAATGGCAAAGTGACAAGAAGAAGCAAGGCTTCCCAGTCACCGCATAGGTCTGAGCTGTGCAGCTCACTCTGCACAGTTCCCACGTGGCTTGTTCCTATGTAAGTCTTAGCAGAGCTCACCCTGTGTATCACCGTTTTGGGCACCCAGCCATCCTGGCTCCTCCCCTCCTATCCTTCCCCTTCCCCTCCCTCACTTTTAAGTACTTTAAGATTTCTCTTTCCTGCTGCCATATTCTTTGTTGCTGACTTTGGACATTCTTTATTGCCTTTCATCAGGCTTTTCCCAGCGCTTACACACTCTGTGTTGGTTTGGCCTGCTCTGCCTTTTGTCTGTGCAAAAACAAAAGCTGTTGCCCAGAGACCATGGTGACTTCAGGGCTTTCTCAGTGCCAGCACCTAATTGCAAACAAATGGAAGTCCCCAGCAATACTGTGTCTTGGGTGGGAGGGCCTGATTCTGCTCGCTCTGCACTGTGGGACTGGTGAAATGCTCGTGATTTACAGCAGTGTATCTCAGAGTGCCATCTAGCCTTCCGCAATCTAGCTGCCTTGGAAGAGAAGGCATAAAAGCCACACGATGCTTGTGACATGAATATCTCAAATGTCTGGTTTCCCTTAATGTCAATGAGTAAATGGTGGTTGATTGCAATGAGCAATCTGGACACACTTCAGAAAATCCTCACAGAGCACAGAAGCAAATGGCACGACGTTTCCACTCCATTTCTGCCTCTCTTTGAAACCCACAAAGCGACCGTCGCTCCGTGACAAGGACTGCCAGAGAGAGGCATACGGAGCA